GTTCTGTCTCAGACCAATCAACTAACCAACAAACCAAACAACTTTGCTTCCAAACCCCAACTAGTAGTCTAAAAGCTAGTGTGATTATTATTTGGTTTGTAACTAATGCATTAAAATTATTTATTTGTACACATAGGGTGCAAAGATGTAATCTGTGATCTCAGTGACTGAAAGGAGGGTGGATGGAGCTGGTAAAGGGCCAGTGGTTTGTTTGATACTGAAGTTAATCTAGTGTAAATTCAAGCTAGTGTGTTCTATCTTAGGATGTTAACTGTAATATTCCTGGAAATCACAAAGAAAATAGCTAAACTATGTAGAGAAAAAAAAGAAATATGATGCATCTAAACATTTCACCCCCAAAGCCAGCAAAACACAAAAGATAGCGGGAAATGAGGCATGGCAATACTGTATATAAAACAAATAGAAAAATGACAGAAGTCATCCTTTTCAGTAATTACATTAAAAAATTATTATTGTATGCATTTGTGTGTACATGATGTGTGTTCATGTGTATGTGTATATGGGTATTCATGCCACAGCATGTGTAGAGGTCAGAGGACAACTTTGTGGAGTTGTTTCTCTCCTTCCACCTTTACGTGGGTTCTGGGATTTGAGCTCAGGTCACCAGGCTTGCATAATAAGCACCTTTATCTGCTGAGCCATCCTGTTGGCCCTGAAAATCCATTTTAATTGCAGTATTTTCAGTTAAACTGGAAACCACAGTTAAATTTTTTACTAGTGCTTATTTCTGTATACAAAGTGATGGGTTTCATAATGACATTTTCATTCAATTATGTCATGTACTTTGACCATATTCACCCTGTTATTCTCTTCTGTCCTCCTTTCCCTTTGCTACTGGTTCCCTTCCTCTTCTCAAATGGTGCCCCTTGTACTTTTATCACACCACACACACACAAACACACACACACACACACACACCACAATTTTTAGGATCCACACATGAGAGAAAACATCGTATTTGTCATGAATATGACATATTTTTTCTCGCGATATTCAGTTCCACCCATTTTCTTTATCCATTCATTTGATGACACCTCGGCTGGTTCCATAATGGCTATTGCGAATTGTACTGCAGTAAATGTGCACATGCATGTAGCATGATGGCTTAGAGTCCTTCGGGTGTGTGCATCCCAGGAGTGGTATAGCTGGATCACATGACAGTTTTAGTTTTTGAAGAACTGCCATACTGGTTTCCATAATGACTGCTCTGGTTTATGCTTCCCACAGCAGTGTCTAAGGGATTCCTTCCACTCACAACCTCTCCAGCACTCTTGTTTGTGTTTTAAAGATTTATTTTATTTTGGTTTTTAGAGGCAGTCTTCCTGTAGCCTCAGCTGTCCTGGAACTCACTCTGTAGACCAGGATGGACTCGAACTCACAGAGATCCACCTGCCACTGCTTCCCGAGGTCTGGGACTAAGGGTGTGCGCCACCATGCCTGGCTGATTTATTTAATTTTTATTTATTTGTGTGTGTGTGTGTGTGTGTGTGTGTGTGATCATGTGCACATGGCTTCAGATATCCTCAAAGGCTAGAA